TCTCTCCAAAAGCTGGCGACAGAGGAGCCATTCAATTATCCAGGAAAAACAAAGAGAGTCTCCTGTGAGCCTGGGTGTCACCTTCCTGGTTCTCGCTTTCATTAACCCAACATCCTTTTATCATCCGATGTTTCTATATCTTTATTTTACCTTAGGGATAAATGACAGCCATCATTCTGAGTGCCCAGCCTGTGCTGAGCCCATTATATCCTGAATCACACAAAACATGGTATTTTCACTATATGGATCTGAGGGATGCTGCTGTGTTCATCTCCATCCTGTATAGCCCAGGACCACATGTCTACAAGATTCATTCACTCAGTCCTTCTCTGCCCAGTGTCAAGTGCAGCAAAGATCTGGTTAAGCCATCCTTGCCTCTGTGCATGAAGATGGCCTCACATCAGGAAATAGCTGGGCTTCAAGTAACTACATTTTGTCCCACTGTCTTTCTGCAATCTCTGTGTTCCACCAAATATATGTGTGTATGTGTGTCTATCATCTGTCTATCTTTACATCTATATCTATCTATCATCTATGTATCCATCTGTATATCTCTATCATTAAAATGTCTAACTCATTTTTAAAACATTTCACGTGTGTGGGTCTTCTGACTACATGGAAATGTGCGCACCATGTACGTGCCTGGTGCCCTCAGAGTCAGAAGAGGGCACTGAATTCCCAGGGACTGGAGTCACCGATGACCGCGATCTACCATGAGTGCTGAAAACTGAACCCTGCTTTTCTGCAAGAGCAGCCAGTGCTCTTAATTGGTAAGCCATCTCTCTAGCCCCTTTATCTTATTTTTTGAGCTTCTACCTCTAAAGTGGGAGTCTCTAGAATGGGCTCAAACTGGCTGAGTGGCTGAAAATGCGTTTGATGTTCTGATCCGCCTGCCTCTACCTTCTTTTTGAGCATTGGGATTGCAGGCCTGTGCCACCACACCTGGTTTATACCAGGCTGGGATTGAAGCCAGAGTTTTGTGTATGCTGGGCAAGCACTGTGCCAACCAAGATACAGCCCCAACTCCTCAATATTAGTATTCTAATAGGAAAGCTATTCCCCCCCCCCAAATAGAATCCATTTGGCTTTTTAGTAGAAATAGCTTCCTACATCTTATTTATAATTTGTCAAAGGCTATAAAAGCTGGCCACTGTGCTTGCATTTTAAACTGTTTTCCCTCCATCTATTTACTGATCAAACCTGACATATTTTTCCTTTTAGTCTGATAGCATCACCTATGGTGGTCAGACTTGTAAAGTAACCATAAAGTTTAGGGGTTAAGAAAACAGGGGTCCTATTTAGGTGCAGCTGGGCACATACTCATGGGATCATACATGAGTTTAAGAGTAAAGAGAACATAGTGCCATATTTTGCTTTCAAGTCATCTCCCCTTTGTTTGAGGCAGGAGAGATGACACACTTCAAATAGGTAATTCCATCTGAATGTCCCTTGCTTTCAGAACTTGCTGTAAGGATCTCTGCTTCTGGGACACAAAGAAAATCAGAGGAAAAGTTGTTGGAAATCCTACAGTTTAGAAAGAAATTGTTCCCTGTTATAAGCAAGCCAAATCCCGATGTTTTGGAATCTAAATAAAACAATAAACTTGTTGTTGGCTTAGGGCAGAGCAAAAAGCATCTATCAACCATCACATAAGCACTGTTTTAATTTTTGTTATGAAGACAGTACTAGTTTGGACCTACTTCTGGGAATCTCTTTTGCTTTTTTTTTTTTTTTAAGTGTGTATGTGTGAATTGCAACACATTTCTGTATTCCTTTTAGTGTGCAGACCCTAAGTGACTGGACGCTGGTCTGTAACAGGGACTCATCTTTGACCTCAGCATAGTCCTGAGCACATGGTGAATGCTGAATAACCGGGCGTCTGAAGACATCTGTCTCTGCCACATTGTCCTAAGGCTCACCACAGGGGTAAACAGCAGCAGGTAGAGCTGGCCTCAGCGGCTTCTGTTACAGAGAGCCTGGCCACACGTGAGGAAGCCCCGGACAGGCCTCTGGGACCCTCTACTCTCTCAGCACACCCCACCAGGGTTCAACGTCAGGCGTTCTGCTTGTCTCTGACTTAAGATTGTGGTTGGTCGACTCTGTGCTTCCAACTTAGGACCCATTCATACACACATGCATGTGTACTTATCTCCACATGAACAAAACAAAACTCCTGATAACATGGGCATTCGGGGCAAAAATTACTACCTTCTCCCTAGTTGAAAAGAAAAAATTCCACTGGCAATAGAAAGACAATGCGGTAAGTGGCAAAGGCCTGGCCCACTTGTGCCAACTGCGGCACTTGACGTAGCCTGCTTGACACTGGGAGGCGAGGGGGAAGGGAACTTTAAATGTGATCCTCTGTGAAGGACCTTCAGATAAAGCTTCAGTTTGGACCTCACAAGGTTAAAAAATAATCTCTGACTATTCAATATTGTATCTCTTTCTAGTCAATATTATTCTTCCTATCAGGGATCAGCAGAGCACAACTGTAGAAGGCATGCTCAGGATTTTTTCTTTTCTTTTCTTCCTTAATGGTGAAAGCTGATAGTCTTAGGCATCCAAAAACCATAATTATTTCTAGAACTGTGGATACTTGCATTAATGTTATGGAAGTTGTCATTAGAAACTCTACCAGAGCACAGCACTTGTGACTGCATGAAAGTCTAGCTAATAAAATGCATTTTATATTTTTGTAGTTCATGATTTTTACTAAACTATATCAATAGGCATTTAATCTACTTGTATCCTACTAGACTGGAATTTATTTTTGCTATGACATAAGAGTGTGTGGCAATGGCCTCACTGTGCTTCCATATAGCTCACGATTCAAGTCTTTTCTGTTAGAAACAACATTGTGAAGAAATACGTGCTTCGGAGGATGTAAGAGGGCTAAACCTGACATTTCTCACGCGCACTTAGAGGTGTGATGGAGGCTTCGAGAGCAGACAGACCAGCGGGCTGCCCACGGCCATTCTAGTAGGACTAAGCAGTCCTCTGGGAGCATATGTGCAGTCAAGAAAATGACCGGATCCAGCACCACGGTGGGGGGAGCGTTCTGGAAGTCACTGGCAGCGAGCAGGAGGAGCTGCGTTCTACAGCGTGGAGCCTGTTCAACCACTTAAAGAACCAGTGATCTGGCTAACGGCGCCCATCTATGTGCGGTTCCTTTGCTGGGGGGTGGGAGGACGGCAGATTCTGAAACAGTGCGGCTTTGGGGCTCTTGTTTTGGGTTTCTGTTTGTTCGTTCTGTGTTTTCATCCTCTGAAGAACTGATTAACCACAAAGAAACTGCTTCTGACCACCCACCTCATCTGAATCAAGTCACCAACCCAGAACACAGGGAGAGGCTGGCTCTCACACACCCAGGCGACCCAAGGCGAGGTCACTGCCCAACAGTTTCAGTGTAGAGACCCCTAATGCCGGTTTAAAAGCCAGACAATGTTTGAAGTCTCTCCAGAAGGGGGTCTATGAAAGGCTTCTTTTGCTGCTGACTGAAAGCTAGGACAGCATGTGGAAAATACCATGGTGACCACAAAAGGGCTGGTCGGATGCTGGTAATAAGCAGGGCTTTCTGAGATCAACCGGCCACTAGGGCGGCTGTCCGGGATGTTCCAAAGACAGCTCCTCCCATAGCTGATCCCTTGGCACACATGACCTATGCCCCCAACTGGGTGCTGACTGCCTACGTGCTGGCTTCTTAAGTCATGAGCCCAGTTTCAAGTCCTTTATGCTTCTACTTTCTCCCACCATCCCATCCATGGAAGAAAACTTTCAGGACCTGCTCTGTTTTCCCCAGTTTAATCAGCAAAGGGCATGATGGTAGGCATCTGTTGCTCCCGTCACCCGACACTCTACTAAAGCAGGAAGAAGCCTGCACCCAGGAGCTTAAGACCGGCCTGGACACCACACTCATATCCTGCGACTAACAAAAAGATGGTCAAATCATTTAGTGTGTGCAAGCCAGATACTAACCGAGGGTGTTGTTCCTTGAGGAGCTGCCCACTGTATTTTCTTAAGACATGGTCTCTTAATAGGATTTCAGGCTTACTAACTAGGCTGGCTGGCCTACAGACACCAAAGATCCCCATCTTCATCTCCCCAGCACTGGGATACAAGCACACATTACCACACCCGTTTTTGTTGTTGTTTGTGTTTTACACAGGTGCTGCATTATCAAACTGAGGTCCTTCTGCTTACACGGCAACCACTTTTGGACTGAGCCATCTCCCTGGCCCCCAAACTTCCCAAGTCATTTGTTCATATATGCACTAGAATAGCCTGGTGAACCCCAAATCCTTGTTTCGTTTTGGGGGTAAGGATTAGGTACTAGGAGGCAGAAGCTGGGTAGGTGGTACACCTACCTAGTAGTACTTAATTACCTAGTAGTAATTAATCGATTGCAGGATTAATTACAAAGCCAGAAATCGAGCCTTTCTTAATGCCACAGCAGTTTTTAGTAAGAGTGCCAAGTAAGATCTACACAGACTTCAGAAGACTGGCATGTTTGGATTTTTTGGGAGCTGTTTTCTTTCTTAACTGCAGCATGCTGGAATATATAAAATGACACCCCAACATGCTGGGGGTCAAACAAAGATGCTCTGAAAAGCCCATGTCACTGTATCAACCATGGCCTCTTCCAGGTCCCAGCTCATTAACAGAAACTACATCACGGCCGAGATGTAACGAAATCATGTTATGATTCCTTTAGTAGGAAATATAAGTAGAAACTCAAGAAAGCCTTGGTACAATCTTTGGGAGTTATCTAAACCCATGTTGCAATGCATATTCAAAAAGACCTTGGCACACAAAGATGTCTTGGTCTTCCAGGAAATAACAGAAGACTGGCTGTTCAAATTTGGAAACTGTCAGTCATCCAATGAAAAAGATGGGGTTGGGGCTTGAAAGATGAATGCATCTTTGTACATACACCGGTGCACACGGCACTGACGCCAAGCAATGTACCAAACAAGGCAAAAAGAAAGGACTTGCAACCAAAATGAGTTTCAGCTTTTATTATGAATGTCCAAAGTGAGAGCATACTGTGCGAGGTGTAAGGTTCTCATTGATTACATTCCAAGGGACCACAGAGAAAGAATTCCAAGCACTTTAATTCTTTTTTGACAAAACAAACAAAAAGAATGATTGAAAATAGTCTTTTGGGCATAAACGGTGCTCATGTTTGAATTTTTGAGTCCCCCTCCCCCAAGTTTCACGTGAACAGTGGTAGCTGTCAAAAACACAAATCAGGCCTGGCCTTCTGCCTGAATTAAAAGCTCCTGGGAAATGGTTCATGAGGTGTGGGAGACTACCATGCAGGAGGCCTGCTCATCACTGCTTCCCTTCCTCTCCCAAGGCTTCTCCGCCCAAATCCCTGCTGCCTGCATGACAGGACAGGAAGGTCGGAGCAAAGGGTTCAGGACGGTAGGCTGACCCCAGGACTTGTCTCGACGTTGCATTAAAAAAGGATTTAAAAATGAAAGCTTACAGCTTTTTGTTTTTTTTTTTTTTTTTTTTTTTTTTTTTTTTTTTGAGTGTCCAAGGAAGTAACTAATGATAGTGGATTGAAGCCGCAGCCAGGCTTTTGAACATGGCTTTATAGCAGTAAACATCTATCGTGTTAAGGAAAAAAAAAAAAAAAAAAAAAAAAAAATCGCTGGTGTAGTAACGCTATGGTCTGGCCATCTGTATGACTCTCCCGGGGAGGCTTCCTCACCCTCTGTCCTTCCCATCATGCACTGGACGATGCTACCGGTAGAGCTGGTTGCCAGTGATTCCTCACCCAGCTGTGGGCAGTGGGAGCGCGTTATCTCTTACGGATGTAATACTGTTCGTCTGAGCGGATCCTCAAAAAGAACAACTATGAACTAGAAACTCATAGAGTTTGTGTCTAGAATTTATAAAATTAAACCTGCTCCGACAGGTAATACAGGGAGGCATGCTTGTAACCTCTGGATTCAACCGGAAACCACGCCTGAGAGCACTGAGCCTTCTCAACAGGCAACGGCGGGGCTCCTTTTAATGCTTCCGGCGTGATGCGCATTAGAACTCTGAAGCTCGTCTGTCTCATTTATTTCTACAAGGCCTGGGACGCGGGAAGCTGCCAGGACTTCACTCATCATCTTGCCTGTTGACAAAAGGAATAATAACGTCATCACTGGTAAATGGAATAACTTTCCTATTTTTTTTTTCCCCCTGAGAAGAGATGGTGTCAACACAATAGCACCTGCTTCAAGGCTTTGATGACTTTCTATGCCCAGAACTGCAATGTTTTCTTCCAGTAGAGCAGAAATAGTAAGGAGACAGACCTTCCGAAAAGGTCAGCAGATCTAGGCTCCAAGTACGACTCCATTAAGGACTGACACGGCCCCTGGCCACTGCTGTGCCCTAATTCTTTCACATACCCACTCAAAGTATACTGACCAGTGATGCCTAAGGTTGGCTGTCCCAAGGCTAACTGCTTATTTTTTTAAAATTTATTTATTTAATATGTATACAGTGTTCTGCCTGCATGTACACCTGAATGCCAGAAGAGGGCACCAGATCTCATTATAGATGGTTGTAAGCCACCATGCAGTAGCTGGGAACTGAACTCAGGACCTTTGGAAGAGCAAAAACCAATGCTCTTAACCGCTGAGCCATCTCTCCAGGCCCCAAGGCTAACTGCTAATGTGTCCAGATATTCCTGTCTTCTCAGATTCCCACAAAGCACAACCGGGTCTGTCCATGTCAATCTCTACCAACTCTACCCATGGGTGCGAGTTTTGCTTTGCGCTGAGAATCACCTTAATTCAGAGAAACCTCAAGATACATGTTAGCATAAGTAATTCAAAACTTCACAAATGATAGTATTAAGTTATATGAGTGAAAATTCTGTAAATCTCCCGTTCGTTTTCCTATCTTTTGCTATGACCTTTCAAAAAAAAAAAAAAATCAGGTAAAACAAAATGCAAGGAACAATGAGGGGAGTGGAGACGGTGGGCCAGGAGCTGTTATGGCAGAGTGCTTGCTCTTTGAAGCCAGCTCCCATCTCTGAGCTTGCTGGCTCTTACAGCAGGGAACCTAGCTTTCCCTGGGTTTCCAGCCAAGTTGGGATTTGCGCCAGAGGCTGGCTCAGCATTAAGTAGGGTGAGCCCTAACAGGGGTGGCAACCAGGCCCTCTCCTTTCCAGGCCAGTCTGCTCACTGCAGCCTCACTACTTAGTGCCTATCTCTTCTGCATACCTCTGCGTATTAATAGCGTTATCGCTAGTAAATTGTACACTTCACAAAGAATACTCAGAAAGACAGACTGTCTCCACAAAGAATCGGGTGCCAAGACACACCTTGCCCAGTGTCCTAGAGGGAGGCTGAGCCGGGGCTCCAAGCATTGGCACTTTCACTGCAAAGGCTCTCTGAGTCCTCTGTCATATGCACCATCTGTGTGTGCTGTGGACTGCCTCACAGAACTTCTGCAGCCCTGTAGGTGTCAAGCCTGACAGAAGCAGCCATTCCTGAAGCCCCCTCACTCCCCCCAGCCCCTGTAATCCCAGCACCCAGAAGGCTGAGGCAGGGGGACAGAGAGTCTGAGGCCAGTATGGGCTGTAAGTGACTCTGTCTCTAGCGGGGAAAAAATAAAAACAAAACACCTGGCTGCTTCAGAAAGCCATGGCTGCAGAGGTGTGACACATTGGTGTCTTCCAAAGTATGTAATTTGGTAATAGTTTGGCTCCTGATGAGATTCTGTGAAGAAATGTGTTCTCACATAGTCAGAGCTTTCTCTTCATCTTACCAGAGTGGCTCATGACTGACCAAGACACCACTTATAATTTCACAGTAAATACAGAAGCAGGATCAGAACTCAGGAGCATAGGTACAAAGGCCATGATCTTTCCTTTGAAATAAAGCTGAGAAGGAGCGGGGTTCAAAGGCACCAATGATTGCTGGGTAGCACTGTTTTTAGAACCAGTTTCCCAGCCTGAGCCACCGTCAGGAATGTGTTTGCTCCATGTCTGAGCTTAAATAAGCAAGACAAGAGGAGAGACCTGGACAATTTAGGACCTGGACCTTGGTTTGCTAAGGATGTCTGGCACTTAATTCCATGCCTTTCCTATCAAAGTCCATTCCCCCTGACAGCACACAGAAGCCGCACAGCCACCAGATGCCATGATTTATAGGCTGAGAGGAGGCTCAGCCTATAAACTACCTCACATCCTGCTATAGGGACAGTGGCCAGGTGGCTAGGTCCCCAGGTCAAGGATCCTGGGCAGAAGAGGAAGCTGGAGGAAGAACCTGGCAAAGATGTGTCCCATCTAGGGAAATGACTCCAGGGAGACCAACAGCATGCAGAAAGAGAAGCGTTTCTCCCACTTCTCATGGGGAAGAGGATCCTGCGGTTTTCCATCTGATGGCCCTATCTGTAGTGGAAGTTTTGGTTTCTTTGTAAAGTCAGTGACATTAGGTGAGTTTGTTTAGTTTTAATCCAAGTGTGGGATTTTAGTTGAGCTACAGTTTGTCCACGCCTGTTGGGTGTCTCCTGAGGAGCGTGGCTTTTGCCAGCTGGTAATGGCCTTTCACGTGTGGCAGAGAGAAGGGCATGGTCTAGGACTCAGAGTATAAATATGAGAAGGTGTTGTGTGCGGCATGTGGCAGTTTGGAGAGATCAGAGACCAGGGCTGGTGTGGCGGTATGGGGCAGAGAGAGGGAGAGAAACACTCCGGGGAGCAGCAGTATGGAGAAGAATGCTAGCTTCTTCTGCTGTTGACAGAGACTGCACCCCTCTCCCCACCGAACTTTCCTCTCTCACCTAAGGGTTGGGAGGTTGGAAGGGAGGTTGAGGCCTAGACACCCCAAATGAAGTAGAGTTTTAAAAAAGAGCACTACACCTGTCAGCAGGCTCTAACTGCATGTAACCCCAGAGCCATTTCCAAGTTCCAGCCACAGGACTGGGACAGGGAGAACCGTATGAGGAGATAAGGCCCACAGAGAGCCCTTGAGCCCTTTGTAACTCATCCCCTCAATTTCTCCTCAGAGCTGCCAGTGGCTGGCGAAGGTTCAGACTAGAAACCCATAACACCTTTATCCTCTGCTTAGAACCGAGGGTGAAGGCATGTGATTAGGAAGCCAGGGGGCAGGAGGCCAGTGTCCCAGCACCGCGGATTCGGGATTAACGGTGATATGTGCACAGTTGGTACGCATGTGCTGCTTCATAAAAGATGCTCAGACCGAGGCCAGGCAGCCCATCCCGTGACGTGTGAGAAGGAGAGTGCCAGAGCTATTCATGGATGCCGGGCCCCCATCTGTCCTGGCCAGCTGATCTGTTTGGTCAGTCCATATGGGCTCAGGATGGTCAGAACTGTGATTATCAGCTGGTGCAGATGCATTCTAAAAATTTGCTCTGTTTTACTGTTCAGTAGTTAAAAACCTACTTAGAATGCGTTGAGCTCCATCCCATTAGACTGGAATAACATGAAATCCTGTCTCTCCAAATACCAAGTATAAGGATAGTTACAATAAAAAAAGGCATCCATTGCCTAGTGAGGAAAGTTTATTCTATGCTGGGAAACACCCAGGGCTCCTCTGTTCAATCGAGGTCACACTGCCTGCCTGATGTCCACATGGTTATTGTATGTACAGCTACTCGAGAATGGCCCCTAGGCCCGAAGCAGCCACTTATAGCTACCTTGGAAAAGGACTCAGACCTCAGCAATCATTTTAACCTGCAGAAAACTCACGAGCCCAGCTTCCAGGACATACACTATTCAATACCTGAATTCTTGATCCCTTAATACCTCTTATTCATTTAATTAAAATAAAATAAAAAACCACTTGGATATTACAAATCCCCAAAATTTAAGCCATTAAACACAAATGATTTGTCTGTACAGGCTTCTTAGACTACAGTGGCTTGAGCTGTTTCCATACATTCTGTAATGCTGCTGTGTGCTGCTGGGAAGAAGTGGGGTCAGCATTCAGGCCTGGCAGTCCCTCCAGCTAGCTCAACCACAGAGAGGAGGCTGGGACCACGCGCCCCGGCAAGGCAAGTATATCTGGCTTTGCCTTTTTTCAGAGGTACAGCACTTGGGTGGACTCCTTGGTGAGCACCAAGGGAAGGTTATGTGGGAAGTGCTTCTCCAAGGAGGGACTGTATGCGGGCCATTCTTCCTTTTGCCAGCCGTGTTCCCTAGCAGCCCTGTGTGCAAGAGGCTAGCAAGGAGACTCATGGAGTGGACCTCAAGGCTGAGGCTCTGCATGGCTTCTGTCCAGGATATGCACCCCTTCCTTTGGTCAGCCACCAACACTCCACTGAGTGGCTGCAGGTCCCTGCCCACATCACCCCCTCTTTCCTTTTTCCTGGGGCTCCTCTGTGAATTGGGATGGAAATACAAAGGAGAGGGCCCAGCCCCACCCTGCTCAGGCCTTGTGACTGTACTGACAACATTCTATCAGCCCCTGTCTCCACCCCCAAACCAGGCCTCCTCCCTCACCTCCCACCTCTCAATGCTATCTATCCCCCTCTCTCTGGATCATTCTCTCCAAGGCAGGGAATGGCCACACATAGGTTGTTATAAACACATCTGTGTTGAAGGGGAAAAAAAAAAAAAAATCAATGCTCATCTCTGTTGAGGTTCAGGAAAGGACTCAGAGTTTCTGTTAAGCGTTCATAGAAAGCTACAGCTCAGCGGAGCCTCATGCAGTGTGGCAGTTCTGCATTGCCTACCTGCCAACTATTGCTCGAGACTGTGACCTCCACTCCATAGGCAGCAGAATCGCTCTATGTGTGCTGGGCAAAGCCAGACCAGGAGCTGAGGATTAGTACTAAAGTATTTGACCTCAGAAGCTTTGAGATGATCCTCCAGACACAGGTTAAAAAGCTTACTTTTGCCTCCTCCCTTCCAATGTCCCCTGCCCTCTTTGACACTGGGACTCGAACCCAGAACCTTTCACGTGCTAGCACGCACTCTGCCGGTGAACTCCTGCCGCTTGACTTGAGTTTCCAACAAAAGATGGAAATTGCTGTACAGGAGGCTGCATGGCAGGACTCTCTTTCCCAAGCACGGGTTCTTAAATAATCATTTAAGCGGGATGTGCCCTTCTATTCTAAGCCAGGGTGAAAACAGTCAATATTTTTCCAAAAGAACCGAATCTA